TATCTTCAACTATAAATAAACATCTCGTTGATATTTTCAGTAGTGATTGGTACCAATAACAGCACATTTTAGCAATGCAATTGTAGCGGATAAAATGGTCAATTTTTCCGTGCAGTACTGTACGGATTATACGCTCCTCACCGATTGAGAGTTTGGCCAAGAGTTGTCTCCTTCCTTTACTGACCTGGTGCTGTTCTTTTTTACTTTGCGCCGGTCAAACTGAAGGTCACATCGCTCTAGAAACTAAACGAAGTATAATTGGTATCACCAGAATTCCACTGAAGCATATATGTTCATATAATATCGACAAATAATTACTGCGAAATCTAAAACTTTCATACTGAAGGTTTTCGGTCAAAATCGCCTTTTCAAAGTCAAAATGTGCAAAAATTGATTTATGGTAACTTCAACAATAAATCAATTCCAGGATCATGCTAGAGAATTTCAGTTGGAGATTTAGATAAGCTAGTTTGGGATTATACCATTTGGACCGCCAGAAACAGCATTGTATTAAAAATTCAGTCTGCCTCTGAATCTGTTTTATTTCAAATGACGATTTGACTGTACTATCACGTATCATACAAAATAAGGGAATGTTGTAATTCGATCGTGTGAAATGTCAATATATATTACGCGATATCGCATCACGTGATACTTTCTGTTTTGTGATTCAAGAACATTCAGTTTGAACCAACAATATAAATATAACCACGATTACATTCAGATATCAAGTTCCTCTTCTAGACAAATGTCATACATGTAATTAAACCTGAATAACGTTACTGTCAGTAAATTTTGAACAAACTGACTAAAAAACTACATAACATAGGCAACGACAGTTACGTATACCTATTACTATACCTAAGCAATAAGAAAATATGTAATTTTCTTTAGAAGGTATGTGTTCGGTATTCACCGTATAAAATTAAGTTTATGTTTATCTATTGTTAGAAGTAAAGTTTTGTTAAATTGTAAATGTTTAATTAGCGTGGCAACCCCTGTCAGTATTAACCTTTTAATTTATAGTATGTGTAAATAATGCCTCTTGTTCGTAAATTTTAACCTTTTTTTATGATATTCGTTATTTTTAGTTTCTTTGTAAGTTTCATGTTTAGATAGATTTATAGCTCTTTTGTGTAATATGTTTGGACCCTTTAGTGGCATTTTACTAGGCTAGGATTAGTACTATTGAATTTAAATTTATTGTTTTATTAGCGTAGCTAGAAAATAAGAAGCACGCTTTCTAGTGCCATTATTTGTTTATATTGTATATTTTCGTCGAGTCAGTTTTAAGAGAAAGTTTTTTGTTTTGTATGCTCGACTTTATTTTTTTGTGTAAGATAAGAGTGGGGTGGTTTCTGTCAACCATTCCTAATAAAAGGGGTTGCAACGGCTCATTTGAGAGAGATTCATAAAGATCAAGAACTAGAACGAAAAAAGATAGATTCAATAGCCACTTTAATTTCCTTTATCTGTTTTTTCATCTGTTTTTTAAGTTTAAATCACACACGTTTCATTTTGTACATATGTAAATAAATAGTTAATTTAAAAGCAAGTGTTTTCAATTCCGAAAAGCAATAACTAGATCGCTCGCCATTAATTTAGCGTGCGACTTGAGGATACAAGAAAGTTATCTTTCACTCAACACAAAAATTTCCTCAAGAGAACAAACATGGTCCTTCGAGCCGGATTTTGAAAGCAGCTTTCAAAGAAAAATTCAATTTGGACGTGTGTAATTGGCATCAGCGTACGGATTTCCCGTTTGGAAGAATACCGTCTTGGAAGCCGAAAATTGAAAATTCTTCGTCGTACGGACTTCCCGTTTGGAAGAGCAGCCGTCTTGGAAGAGGAAAAAAGAGAAAAAATCATTGTGAGTATCCCGTTTGGATCATTACCACCAGGTATCCCGTTTGGATAGCCATAAGTGTGTGTTCAGTTAGAACAGAATCAGTTTAGTGTGTCCCGTTTGGACAATTTTAGTGTGTCCCGTTTGGACAATTTTAGTGTTGTGTCCCGTTTGGATACGCCTTGCAACTGGTAAGAGATCATCCAGAATTGTCGATTCAGAAATCATCGTCTTCGAAAAACAAGTAAGCTATAAGAATCTCCATTTCCTTGTGTTTACATTTACCTTTTATAAAATTGTCTTGATCTCACGTAATAAATAACAATGGCAGGTGAAGGAATTAAAACTTTAATAAAAACTCGTACTGTGGCTAAAGCTAATGTAACAAAATTAATTAATTATTTCAAGAGTGATAATGAAAATATTGATTGTGATGATGTAGAAGCGCGAAAGGTAAAATTAGAGGAATATTATCAAATATTTCAAAATTCCCAATTAAAAATTGATCTTCAAATTGAAAACGAAGATTTAGAGGATAGTTTTCCAGATCAGGAGGAAGAAAGAACCAAATTCGAAGAGCAGTATTTCTTGTGTAGCAAATTAATTAAGCAAAAATTGCGTATGTTGAATAAAAATAATGATAAATTGAATGTACCGCCTCAGTCAGTTAATGTTCTAGATCGTAGTATGACGTTTCAACAAAGTAATAGTTTATTGCCAAAAATAGAAATTCGTCCGTTTGACGGAAATCCAATAGAATGGTGTAGTTTTAGAGATACGTTTGAATCACTTGTTCATAATGACGTTAATATACCAGCAGTTCAAAAATTTCATTTACTAAAAAATTCATTAAAAGGTAATTTAACAACTATTACAGANCTAAAATAGAAATTCGTCCGTTTGACGGAAATCCAATAGAATGGTGTAGTTTTAGAGATACGTTTGAATCACTTGTTCATAATGACGTTAATATACCAGCAGTTCAAAAATTTCATTTACTAAAAAATTCATTAAAAGGTAATTTAACAACTATTACAGAGTCTCTTACTGCATCGCAGGAAAATTATATCGTAGCTTGGGACTTGCTCAAGCAACGTTGTAATAGGCCCCGCCAAATAATCCAAACTCATATTAAAATGCTTCTGGATATACCAGATATTATGAAAGAGTCCCCTGCTAGTGTTAGGAATCTAAAAGAAAAGGCACAAATGCATGTAAATGCCTTGAAGGCTCTTGGGGAGCCGGTAGATAAATGGGATTCGTTTTTAGTTTATATAATAACTCAAAAATTAGATAAGAATTCGCGTCGAACCTGGGAACGTAGTCTAGAAACTGAACAAATGCCTAAATTTTGTGAATTAGTGTCATTTTTAAATAAGCAAGAAAGGGGTGACGAAAGTGAAGTATGTTTGAATCAAAATAAAAATAACAATTTAAGGTATGAAAGGAATCATCAGGGAAACCGTCGAATACAGTCTTATGTAGGAACGGAAAATAAAATTGAATGTAATATGTGTAGAGGAAACCACATCATTTATCATTGTAAAGAATTTTTAAAGTTAAGTCCTCGAGAAAGGTTAAATGCAGCGAAAAATAGAACATTGTGCCTCAATTGTCTTAAAAATAATCATCAAACACATAAATGTTTTGCAGCAGGTTGCAAAAAATGTAATCGTAAGCACAATGAATTATTACACTTTGCAAATAGTGAATTAAATAAAAATAAAAGTGAAAATAGTGTTACAAATGCGTGCACTACTAATGATAACAGGCAACCCCAAAGTAGTTTAGCGGTGACATATGATTCAGAAGTTCTTCTTGGAACAGCTCGCATCATAATTTTAGACGCTCAAAAAAGAGAGCATGAATGTAGAGTATTGTTGGATGGCTGTTCACAATCTCACTTTATATCGGAAAAATTAGCAGAAAAGTTGAAATTAAAGAAAGAAAATATAAATTTACCTTTTTCCGGTTTAGGGCAGCTCACAACTACAGCTCAGTATAAAGTCAATACAAAAATTCGTTCTCGAAATGACCAATATGAAACAGAATTAACTTTTGTAGCACTTCCAACAATTACGGGGTTATTGCCATCTCGGCGTATTAATAAATCTTTGATAAAAATTCCCAAGAATATTTGGTTAGCTGATCCTGAATTTGATAAACCCGCGGAAATAGAAGCATTGATAGGAACTACTGTCTTCTATAAATTATTAAGTATTGGTCAGATAAGGCTATGTAATGATTCGATTTTATTACAAAAAACATTATTAGGTTGGGTAGTTACAGGAGAAATAAAATTTAACAGCAATATAAAACCTACAAATTCAAGTTTTTTGATTACAACAAGCTCATTAGAAAAACAGGTAAAACAATTTTGGGAAATCGAGGAAGTACCGAGTACGACATACCTTTCAAAAGAAGAAAATGAATGTGAGCGCATTTATGAGCTAACTACCACTCGTGATGTAGAGGGAAAATATTTAGTAAAATTACCTTTCAATAAGGAATTAGGTAATTTAGGGTATTCATATTTCAACACACTAAAACATTTTTATTCTCTGGAAGGACGATTATCAAAGAATCCAAAATTAAGAAAGCAGTATAGGGAATCATTGTTAGAGTATTTAAAGTTAAATCATATGGTTGAAATTACTAGTATAGATAATAAAAGTGAAGGCTATTATATACCACATCAGGCAGTAGTTAACGAAGATAGTTTGACGACAAAGGTACGCGTAGTTTTTGACGCTTCGGCAAAAAGTTCTACCAATGTGTCTCTTTACGATACATTAATGGTTGGCCCAGTTGTACAAAAGGAGTTGATATTTAGTATAATGCGTTTTCGTTTGCCTCGTATAGCAATTACTACAGATGTACAAAAGATGTATCGCCAAGTTAATGTTACAGATGAACACTCAGTTTATCAGAAAATTTTATATCGTGAAAATGGAAATGAAGATATCGGAGTTTATAAATTAACTACTGTTACGCAGGGAACAGCATCAGCGTCCTATTTAGCTACTAGGACTTTAAAACAATTAGTTTGTGATGAAGGTAGTCGATTTCCCACAGCGGCAGTTAGTGTAGAAAACGATATGTATGTAGATGATTGGTTGTCAGGTGCAAATTCCTTGAAAGATGCAAAATTATTAACAGCACAAGTAACAGAACTTTTAAAATGCGGAGGTTTTCAACTGCATAAATGGGCATCAAATTGTCCCGAATTAATTAATAAAATTGGAATGCAAAACAAAAATTTAGTAGAATTTCCGTGTGAATCTGAAATTAAAAAAGTATTAGGTGGTCGTTGGAGTCCAGTTAAAAATGAATTTACTTATTATGTAAATCCTATAGATAATGAAATCAATGATTGTGTAAAGTGTAGTAGGTACAATGCAAAGGTACCGGACTATCGTATGGGAGATTTACCTGAAACTCGCTTAATAAAGACTCGTCCATTCCTTANGATTTTATAAATTAACTACTGTTACGCAGGGAACAGCATCAGCGTACTATTTAGCTACTAGGACTTTAAAGCAATTAGTTTGTGATGAAGGTAGTCGATTTCCCACAGCGGCAGTTAGTGTAGAAAACGATATGTATGTAGATGATTGGTTGTCAGGTGCAAATTCTTTGAAAGATGCAAAATTATTAACAGCACAAGTAACAGAACTTTTAAAATGCGGAGGTTTTCAACTGCATAAATGGGCATCAAATTGTCCCGAATTAATTAATAAAATTGGAATGCAAAACAAAAATTTAGTAGAATTTCCGTGTGAATCTGAAATTAAAAAAGTATTAGGTGGTCGTTGGAGTCCAGTTAAAAATGAATTTACTTATTATGTAAATCCTATAGATAATGAAATCAATGATTGTGTAAAGTGTAGTAGGTACAATGCAAAGGTACCGGACTATCGTATGGGAGATTTACCTGAAACTCGCTTAATAAAGACTCGTCCATTCCTTAATGTGGGCTTGGATTATTGTGGCCCTTTTCTTTTAAAGGAAAAGAAATTCAGAAATAAAATTAAAATTAAAGCGTATGTAGCTGTATTTGTTTGCTTTTCAACTAAAGCGGTACATCTGGAATTAGTAACAGACTTGACTACTGAGGCTTGTATAGAAGCAATAAAACGATTTGCTGCTCGGCGAGGTAATCCTAATAATGTCTATTCAGACAATGCTACAAATTTTGTAGGCGCTAAGAATGAAATATTAAAGTTACAAGCATTTTTTATGTCAGATGAATATTCAGGAGGTTTAAAACAATATTTTTCAAAACAGCAAATTAATTGGCATTTCTCGCCCCCACGAGCACCTCATTTCGGTGGCTTATGGGAGGCTGCAGTAAAATCCTTCAAAAGTCATTTATATAGAACTGTGGCTAATGCGTTATTTACTTACGAGCAATTTAATACTTGTATTATTGAGATTGAGGCAATTTTAAACTCACGCCCATTAGTACCCATCTCAAGTGACCCTAATGACCTTGTTGCCCTCACTCCAGCCCATTTCCTTATTGGGGATTCATTAATGAGCTTTCCAGAACCCGACTATAGGGATGTTTATCAAAATAAATTATCCACCTGGCAACGAATACAACAAGTGAAACAGCATTTTTGGAGTCGTTGGTATAAAGAATATTTGAACGAACTGCGAATTCGAAGTAAGTGGCACAAGGGAACTTCAGAAGAAATTAAAATTGGGACAATTGTGTTAATAAAAGAAGAAAATCTTCCGCCAAGACAATGGAGTCTAGGACGCATTATTGAATTACACCCTGGTGACGATAACATTGTGCGGGTAGTGACGGTGAGAACTCAAGATGGTGTTTATAAACGGTGTATTAAAAAACTATCACCGCTACCCAATTTATAGTAATGAAGTGATTTTGAACTTAAATCGTTCAAGGTGGCCGGTGTGTTCGGTATTCACCGTATAAAATTAAGTTTATGTTTATCTATTGTTAGAAGTAAAGTTTTGTTAAATTGTAAATGTTTAATTAGCGTGGCAACCCCTGTCAGTATTAACCTTTTAATTTATAGTATGTGTAAATAATGCCTCTTGTTCGTAAATTTTAACCTTTTTTTATGATATTCGTTATTTTTAGTTTCTTTGTAAGTTTCATGTTTAGATAGATTTATAGCTCTTTTGTGTAATATGTTTGGACCCTTTAGTGGCATTTTACTAGGCTAGGATTAGTACTATTGAATTTAAATTTATTGTTTTATTAGCGTAGCTAGAAAATAAGAAGCACGCTTTCTAGTGCCATTATTTGTTTATATTGTATATTTTCGTCGAGTCAGTTTTAAGAGAAAGTTTTTTGTTTTGTATGCTCGACTTTATTTTTTTGTGTAAGATAAGAGTGGGGTGGTTTCTGTCAACCATTCCTAATAAAAGGGGTTGCAACGGCTCATTTGAGAGAGATTCATAAAGATCAAGAACTAGAACGAAAAAAGATAGATTCAATAGCCACTTTAATTTCCTTTATCTGTTTTTTCATCTGTTTTTTAAGTTTAAATCACACACGTTTCATTTTGTACATATGTAAATAAATAGTTAATTTAAAAGCAAGTGTTTTCAATTCCGAAAAGCAATAACTAGATCGCTCGCCATTAATTTAGCGTGCGACTTGAGGATACAAGAAAGTTATCTTTCACTCAACACAAAAATTTCCTCAAGAGAACAAACAGTATGTTTCAATCAATGGGTCTTGGAGACCTACAATCTTTAAATTTGACTAAGAGGTAGGTCCTATTCGACTTAAATTTTATCACAGGTTAACAAGGATCTGAAACAAAGACTTGTTTGTCAGATATCTACAGGAATATTAGAAAAAGGTAAAGTTTGTAAGCTTGTAAGTTTGGATGTAGGGCTTAATCTCGAAAACTATCCATCCGATTTCAAAAATTCTTTCACCAATGTTTAGAACGTACCTTCAGGGTGAACATAGACTGTGTATTATTCCGTTAAGGTACGGTAACGAATAAAGGGTTGACCAAATGCGTTTCATACGAGCACAGATTTAACGATAAGAGATGTATGACTGCTTTCTATAGAATAAAGAAAAGAGTCTGCAAAAAAGTCAACGACATATGTTAAAGTTAATTAATCAATTAACAAAATATTACTTTTATCACAGTCATAAACTGAATTCCATCAAAAGGATGAAGCCGCAGGCATAGCTACTCATAAATGTAGAGAATAGACTGAACGTTCCCTACCAGATTGTGATATAAATACAGATCAAAGTGCGAGAGAGATAAAACGAATGTGTGGACTGTGGTTATGTAGTTCTATGGTTATTACATGCTTGTAAAAAAGACGCAACTATTGATTGCTCATCAGTCGATGTCCCTTTATTTCCTTTAGTACAATGGTCATGCTCAATCCATTGGTCCATGCTCTATAATCTATATCTGCACGAGATATTTGTTTCTGTTCAATATCAACAGTAACTATCAAAGGATTACAATTGAAAAATAATATAGGGTTGTTCGGAAAGTCATTTCGTTTTTTCCCGACAGAGGATTTAATTGTATTCTTTGCACCCAACTTCATATTTAAGCCGTATAATTTTTATATGCTTTGAGAGCTCATATAGCAAGGCTTGTGTGTGAAAAATTCCAATTAATTCTACGCAGTAGTTTTTGGTTGGTGCCCTTTTAAATATGGAGAGCGATAAGCAGCATTTTCGACATATCTTACTGTTTTACTACAGAAAGGGTAAAAATGCTGTTCAAGCCAGAAAGAAATTGACTGATGTGTATGGAGAAGGTGTGTTGACAGTACGCCAGTGCCAGAACTGGTTCGCTAAATTTCGATCCGGCAATTTTGATGTCGAAGATGCACCACGTTCGGGAAGGCCGGTTGAAGCTGATAAAGACGCGATAAAGGCATTAGTTGATGTGAACCGGCGAATAACAACACGTGAGATCGGATTGAGGTTAAATTTATCAAATTCAACAGTTTATGACCACTTGAAAGGCCTGGGATTATCCTCGAAGCTCGATGTATGGGTTCCCCATGTTCTCACAGAGAGAAATCTGTGTCGCCGCATTGACGTCTGCGATTCGCTTCTCAAACGTCACGAAAATGATCCGTTTTTGAAGCGCATCATCACTGGGGACGAAAAATGGGTTGTATACAACAACGTCAAACGCAAGAGGTCATGGAGCAAAAAAGATGAACCGGCTCAAACCATTTCCAAAGCCGATATTCACCAAAAAAAGGTGATGCTGTCTGTTTGGTGGGATTTTAAAGGAATCGTTTTTTTTTAGCTTTTACCGGATAACACAACGATTAATTCGGAAGTCTACTGTCATCAGCTGGACAAACTGAATGATGCACTTCAATAATAATTTAATAAAGTATTTGTTTATTATACGAAAACTGTGTTTCATTTCCACAAAAAAAACCAAATGACTTTCTGAACAACCCTATAATTACTAATCCATGTTTGAACTTAATCCATATCCAGTAGGAAATAAACATAAAAAGATTTTGAATTCTCCAATTCTCCTCCAACTACAAAAATAAGAAAAATGTAATACTTGGGTATCTGAATGTTCCTCGAATTGTTTTTTATTTCATTTGAAACTACAAAAAGTTATACAAATTCGGTTGATTTTGTAATTGTAGCCATAAAAGGTTTCCTTTTAACAACCTTAATTGAGTTAAATTAAAACCTACCCGTACATTATTTGAAATGTGTTTGAAGAAGAACAGAAAAAAGATTTAGTTGAAATGCTAAAATAAACTCTGAATAAATTGACATGCTTTGTACTCATTTCAATGGAATGAGTGTAAAGTAATTTTCATGTTCGTTTCTCATGTAAATACATCAACTGTGAATAATGGAACCATAAGGGAAGATAACTCGTATCGTAAAACCGCTTTTTGTTTAAAAAAGTTCTGCGTTGTAACAACGCTTTTAAAATAAGATCGTAAATCTTCCCCGCAAAGGTTGTGTTTCCTTTTTTTTATTCTTAAACCGTCGCGAAAACAAGGGAAAGGGCATGCGAAGATATATTTCGTTTCATTCTACTGATAATAATTTCCCTAATTCGTTTTCAGATTTTACAAACTACCCCCTACTGAAACCGCAAACATTAATTAACCTTCCAAACCCACTACAAAAAGTTGGACGATTTAAATTACTACCTAACGTTTACCACATTTTCATATCATATCACATGAAGCCACCTACATTACTTGGCTGACCCAGATTTTGCAGTTGTAAATTATATTCTTCCAGCAGCAAAAAATAAAACAAAAATTTAATTAACCATGGAGTTGATCAACATCAAATAACCTATCAAATTGGTAAAGACTTTCGTGGCCAGTAGGTGAACTAATGCTGTTCTGATTCGGGTCTAAAGATCGTGTGTGTTGGCGTGATAGTCTACATTCAGCTTCGGAGATGGAAAAACTTCTAAAGAAGCTCGCAACTTCAATGCACGACGACATTTAGAACCCGAATCAAAACAGCATCAGTCCAATCCGAGTAGGAGGAGTGTTTCGTGGCCAATGGTTCGGGGTCTACTTATCTCGGAGCGAGCCATTCTTAAAACACGTTTTAAATATCCTTTCATCTCCGATACTGGATGTAGACTGAAGAAATTCGCCACTCGTGTTAGCGAAACGTTAGCAAGCATGTTCAACACACAACCGCCTTTAGACCTGAATCAGAACAGCATCAGTTCAGATAACCTATTTCCTACTCAAACTGCATTGTATGAGATATTTTGGAAATTATGTGATTTCTGAGCAAGTGTTAAATTATCTTCAAATTTTGAAACAGTACGCTACTTATATTATATTATATAACCTTGTATATAAGACAAGTAAGATGCTTATTTTGGGGTAAGTCCCTAATTATCGCAAATCTTTTAACAAACCTTATATAAAAACAATAATCAAGCAGTGGCACAAATAAAAAAAGATGAAAGGTTTTTTATTACTAAAAAAATGAAGATTTTGGCGGATAGAAGTAGAGGATCTAGGAATAGATCGATCTCCATTACCTAAATGTAATAATCGTAATGAAGATGACATATTTGCTGTGATAGACACCTTACACATTTACTGTATAAGATGGCTTTAAATAAAGAACTAAAATACAGTAAAATTTCTACGAAAATTTCGCATCAAAAATTTTACCAAGATCACGTTGTTCCATGGAGAAGAGGACGAGGATAAAATCATGATAATCCATGGGAGGGAAGGGGTTAAAAACAGGCTAAATGGTGTTTATACCAAGTTATACCTACTTGTAAGCTCCCCACAATTAGAGAATAGCTGCAACCACCGAAATCAAATTAACTGCTTATTAGTTATAAACCCACGCTTGCATGTGCGCACTCAATTTCCGTTTCATACTACAAATTTACTCTCGACTCCCTACAAGAAGTATGTATAACTTAAAAATGAAATCGAAGCAACCCATTCTCTTTTCAGAAGAAGCTCTATCTCCGCAGAAAAAATTGCATGAGTGTCATACGTTTTTCCTTTTGGTATTCGAATAAAGTATATTAATTGCCTTATTGGAGGTTTTCCCCCCCATGTACGATTAGATTAGGTGTGGGCCAAAGTTGGCGCTTGTACAAAGTTAAAATACAACTCTGGGCTAGCCCACTCATACTCACGACAGACGTTGTAGGGAATACCGTAAACATAGAAAAGAGATGTCAGATAGGAATTGCAGCGGACACTGGTAAAGAAAAAGGAATAACATTACACCAATTCATGTGTAATAGAAAGAAAGTTCAACATTCTCAGGAATTTAGGAAAGAAAGACGCTTGTTTAAGGATCTAGTTCCAACTAGTTAGTTATAAAGCCGACCCCGATCTTTTGCGTACCTAAGCAACCTCTAACCGCTGCACCGCTTACTATTATTAGGTTATCTCTTTTTACTTTGTCTGTTCTCCTCACGAAACATTTCCTAATTTAACAAATGAGCGTTCAGAACGCAGCAAGTGACTACAGTTCCGACTACACGACCATGAACATGAGAAACAAAGTGCTAGTGAATTATTATACCAGGGGTAAATACATTTCTCGTTGATCATAACCACACATATTATTAAATATTTGATATAGTTTCCAAAGAACTGATGAATATGTTAAATATATGAAATCCTATGATATTGTTAGTTACTTAATAGTGCAATATTAA